GTTGGAATTACTTAATAAATCGATTAAAACAATTTGTTATGATTTTTTTTGTTAGTATTTATAATTTGTTTGATTAATTTAACATACTAATTGTTCATAATAGATAGTATTATGAGTTTTTCTGTAATATTATTTTATCTTAAATTTTTGTTAGCCGTTAGACTTGCCTAACCAAAATGTTGTAAATCATAAAAAAAAAAAGGGAAATAGGAAAATGTTCAAAGAAAAATTAATTTCTTAGGATGCATTATTAGTTATAAATCAAAAGCGAGAGAGAAGATAGCGCATGCATAAGGCAATCCGAATATTTACAATAGAATAAAGAAGACTAACACATTATTAGGCGAGGGTCAATTATGTTTCCTTTTTGAATATTTGGTACGTTGGAATCTCATTTCATTTTTTTCCTTTATGATCTTAATATATATATTTTTTAAAAATAAATCAAAGTGATTAAATATTGTATCAACTCAAGGCATCTTATTCCCTTTTTGCTGCCTTCCTATATAAAAATGTTAAACTTTGGATTATTATAGTATATGGGCATTATTAAATTCCGCCATACTTGCAGTGTGTGTTGTATTGATTATAAACCATCGTACCAAATTCAGAATCTAGTGGGCCAATTGTTAATTTTATTTGGGTAAATCCTATAATATCTATACAATTTTAATTTTAATTTCAAGACCTTGACATTAAAATAAAAAACTATTATACGATAAGAATTGAACGTTTTTATCTGTTTATTAACATCTTTTACAATATTAAGTTCCGCTTCTTCCTTTTCTGATTTCATGATAATCCACCAAGTATTTGATCAGCATATCTATCGACTTGCTTTTTCCTATCTTAAATAATAATATATGCTTCATATATACATATATATATATATATATATGTTTGAACATAATTATAATTTGACGCTGTTAGTTCTTGATAGAGTCACTGTACATTTGTTGGCTTTATTCCCATGGGATCAGTTTATTTTTTTTTAAAGGCAGGAAATGATACTCTAAATAAATATGATATTTTTGAAGGAATATTTTCAGAATCAAAATTATAAGACGGTGACGAGATTGTGGAATGGAATACGGTGGAAAATAATATGAAAAAAAAAGCGTTGGATTCTTTCGCTTTTGGTATGTTTGATTCGAGCGTTGATTTTTCATAAAATAATCAAAAATAAAACAATTTCCTTTTCTGGGCACGAGCCCTCCAATTTTGTCTAATTAGCTTCAAATTTTACGCAATAAAAAAAATAAAAAAAAAGGGAGGACGCATGGCGAAAATGTTTAATTTTATGTAATAAATATGCCCTTTTTTTGCGCCTCTGATGAATGCTCTTCCTCTTCTTCTTCGCCCTATAAAAAAGACCACTTTTCCCCCCCATTTTTACCGCACCGCTCCATTGTCCGAAGATTCAGAGATCAGCCCTCTCCAGGTTTCTTACTTGGGTTCCGTTTTCTTGATCCGTGAGCTCAGGCATCTAGGAGAGAGAGATGGGCATCGTTAATGAAGAAGCGGTCAGGCAATTCCGTACTCTAATGGAAGATGGTGCGATTTCTCCTCCGGAAACAAATTAGTTGATTTGCTTGCTTTGTTCCCAAAAAGTTCAATTTTTTTTTTTTTTTGCTAAATCTCACCTACTTTTCATGGTCTTGGCAGTTGACGAATCATTGACAGAGTCGTTTGGGGTTAGTAAATTTCCCCTTCGGTTCTTTTTTCCTCTTTCTTTGTTTGGATGCCAAGAAAATATAAGTGGAGGGCTGTGAACTGATTTGTTTATCGAGCTGAAGAAATTTAGCTCGGGTTTGGTAATTATGGGTCTGCGAGTTTTGTTTTTTTTTTGTTTGGTAAACTGGAGTTTAAGCATTTGGCGTAGATTTGATCCGAGGCTCGGAATTCTGGTTCCACTTGTTCGGATCTAGATTTGTTCTAGTCTTTATATGCTGCATTTTTAGCTTTCAGAGTAGTGTAGTTGATTTCTCCTAATTCAATGTTCTTGTCAATCTACGGAGTCCCAAGGATGAGTATGATCTTCCTGAAAAAGGGCAACTTTGAAGTTTAGATAGACCCTTTGCTGGTGCAAGTTCATGACTTGGTGTCTGCTTTTATGACCAATGTTGTTTGTGTGGTGAAGGACTCTTGGAGATTGGTTGGTGAAGGATTCGATATCTCACCTTTGATTGAATGCCATTTCAATTCGATGCTTAGCTAGTGTTTAGGGATGTCAAGTTTGAAACTTTACTTACCACAAAAGGGAATTACTGACTGTGTTTTGCAGCATTTTCAAAGTTATTTAAACCTGCAAGGTTAAATTGCGTAGCGGAGACGGTTCACTTTGAGACCTTTTGCCCATGAAAAATATCGATTCTACAAGTTAAAATGCTCTCTAGTTACTGGACTGGAGTCTTGTGTGGTTAAATTGTTGTTCTTCTTGCGTGAGTTTGCTCGGTGCTAGAGTTATGGATACATATAATGTTGGATTTGCATATTCTAAAGTTTGGTGTTATGTTTGTAGAACATCTATCAAGGGTATCTGACCGAGACTTTGGCACGCTTTCTTAAAGCAAGGGAATGGAATGTCCAGAAGGCTCATAAAATGGTTCTATCCACTTGCTTTGCTCTTTCTGATATACCTTTGATGTGTTGCTTCCTCTTTTGGTCTGAACTAATGACCCCAAGTGTTTTCCAGTTGCTAGACTGTTTACAATGGAGGAAGCAAAATGAGATTGACAAGATACTAACAGTGAGTTTCCAGTTCCGTTATACAAGCGCAATATCAACGCGTTAGAGTCTCCAGTGATAACTGTTTCATCCCCAATTGATTTTTCCAGAAACCCATCGTTCCGGTTGATCTGTACAGAGCAATTAGAGACACCCAGCTTGTAGGATTGTCTGGATATTCAAAAGAGGTAGTCCTTTCTTCTAGTTCGATCTCCTTTTCAAGTCAACCTTCTGTAGTTTTCTCCCCAGCCCGATTAGATTCTTGGTTCATCCTTTTCTACTTGTTGATCCTAGTTTGTGAAAACCTAAACGCTGGATATGTGTATAAAGTGCTTTAAAATAGCATATGAAGCGTTCAATAATAACCTTTCTTTGATCCGGCCTTCACGTTCTCATCTTCATGTATAGGGACTCCCTGTCATTGCTATTGGTGTGGGGCTTAGCACATATGACAAAGCCTCCGTAAGTATCTCTATGCATTTCCATTTGTTTTTGTTAGCACTCCCTTTTTTATGTTATATTACCCAAGGACTTCATATAAAGTTGCATGTTTAACTTTAGCTCTCCGATTCTTCATTTAGGTTCACTATTATATACAATCTCACATTCAAATGAATGAGTACCGGGATCGAGTAATATTGGTAAGAACACACATTTTTGCTTCACAATCCTTCTCCTATACTTCATCAAGTTCTAAGCCTCAACATCATAAATTTCTTAATAGCCATCTGCCTCAAAGAAATTTGGGCGACCAATCTGTACGTGTTTGAAGATTTTGGATATGACTGGTTTGAAGCTTTCAGCACTGAGTCAAATCAAGGTGGTTCCTGTCCATAAAGATCTTCACTCACTAGCTTCCTCAGTTTTACAACTTCCATCATTTTTTCCTCACATTTCCTTCTGTCCCATGCAGCTAATGACTGCAATAACAACCATAGATGACTTGAACTATCCAGAGAAGACAGAGACATATTATATCGTCAATGCTCCTTATATATTTTCTGCTTGTTGGACGACCATAAAGCCCTTGTTGCAAGAGAGAACGAAGAGGAAGATTCAGGTTCTGAAGGGATGCGGAAGAGACGAGTTATTACAGGTAAGCTATTTGGTATTGCTCTTCGACCTGTAACCTTTCCCCCCGGTTTTGTCCTGTCCTGATGAGTTGTTAAACCAACGGGCTCGTATTAACCATCGAAACATGTAAGGCGAGGTATTCTGAACTGTGATAGCTCTTCATCTCTGGTAAAGTTTTCATCTTTTGACCCTTTTGTTTTTCTATATTGTGGTGTTATGCAGGTGATGGATTATGAATCTCTTCCACATTTCTGTAAAGTAGAAGGATCTGGATCTGGTAGGCATATCCGAAACGGAACAGTAGACAATTGTTTCTCTTTGGACCAC